GGAGGTCCATGTGGCGCGCTAGGTGGGACCCCGGCGTCCTGAAGGCGGAGGCCCTGGCCCAGCTGCCCTGCGGCCTGGGCATGGCGTTCTCCCAGTCCCACGTGATGGCCGCGCGGAGGCACCAGCACAGCCGGCTCCTCGTCGAGGTGGACGAGTACAGCTCCAACCCCACCCAGGCCTTCACCTTCTACAACATCAACCAGGGCCGCTTCCAGCCCCCGCACGTGCAGATGTGAGTGGGCGGCAGGCGGGGGGACCGCCAGGCGGGAGGCGTGGGTGGCAGGGGCCGCTGGGGTGGGCTCCTGGACTTGGGGTGCCTCTGGGCCCGACGGGTTCATGCTCGTTGGCCGGAATGGTGCAGGAATCACGGGATCTGCCAGGCTCTGAGTTGGGAGGTTCATGTGAGGAGTTGCAGGGTCTTCGCCTGTGGGCCGGTTCTGGCCCGGAGTCTTGTTTCATTTGGCCAGGAGAGTGTTTTCCAAATATTTGAAAATGAGGTGATTGCACATAAAAATCCAGACTTCCGACTTTGCTGTACAAAACCTAAAGGCCCACATGGGTCCTCGTGGCAAGTCTGGAGGACTGAGTTCCAGCTGCCCCCTCTTGGTACTTGGGTTAGTAACCCCTGGTCTGATTCACATTCCTCATTGTGTCGATGAGGACACTGAGGCCCAGAGAGGGGGTGGGACTTGCTGCAGGCCCCCTGGCAGGGTCAGACCCCAGTCATGGCCTGGCTGTCCTCCCTTCCCTCTGCCCCCCCTTTCTGCCCAGACCCCTTTGCTTCTATTGAAAAAGCAGAGGTGCTTTCCTAAAGGACTGGGGAGTTCTGCTGCCACCCTTTGGGGTTGATGGAAAATACCAGGGGTGCCCCAGCAATGAGGCCATGGCGAAAGCACAGACTCGGGACCCCTGTGCGTGGGTAGAAACTTTCCACTCCTTGGATTTTTTTCCTGTGGTCCAGAGAGCTGCAGGTGGCATGGAATGGAAGGGGGTAAACTGCTGGCCCTGCCCTGGGCAGCTCTCTGTGTTGCTGGGAGATCCTCCTCCTTTGTCCCCACTGGCCCTCCCATCAGCCCTGCCCCGCAGGGCTTACCTTATGAGGAAATAGAACCCTAGACAGGTGACCCAGGCAAGCCCACACAGCTGGAAGGTGCCAGAGATGACACCCACCTCCAGTCCAGGGCTCTCTCCACGCTTAGCATCCTTTTGCTGTGACGTCTGCAGACGGACGGACGTGCCTCTGTCTGAGGGTTTAGGCATTAATGTCTGCTCTGCTGTTGAACCTTCTCTCGGCCCCTTCGGGGTGCCCCTGTGCTGGGCCTGGGCCTCTGACAAGCCCCTGATGGGGGGGAGCCCCACAAGTCCCCAGTGACAGCACAGGAAGGTCAGAGCTGTGATAGGGATGCTCCTGAGCCGGAACAGACCCCCTGACCACCAGGCTGGGTCAGCTGCCCTGTGAGGACGCAGGCTCCAGCTTCCTCTAGGGAGCAGAGGTAATGCGGGTACTGGCCGCTGTCCTTTTACGGAGGTGGCCCACTTAGAGAGGGGCCGCGGGGGGCTTCACACCCAGGCCTGGAGGTGAGCTGGGTAGGTTCCTGCTTCCTTTTACTGTGTGGTTCCCTCAGGACTGGTCCTCTGTTGTAAAGGGTGGGTGCAGAGAGGTTGTTTGTATGAGAAAGGGCTCTGGAAGCCAGGAGGGCAGCAAGCCTGGGGGTGGGTTCCAGCACCGGGAACACCCTCTTCCCCGCAGCGCGTGCTCTGAAAAATGCTCGCTTCCGTGGCGGCTGTGGGCTGGCCTTGTCAGTAGCCGCTTACTTTAATTTTTGGTAGATTTCTCTTTGGGAAACTGCTTCCAGTATCCATTTTGTAGCCTGATTGGTGGATTTGGATGGAAGGCCCTGGGTCTCAGGCACATTCTTCCTTGGTTTCTGGGACCTCGAGCCTGCTGTGGGGAAGGAGGCCTTCCTCTGTCCAGCGTTTTCTCCTCTTTTGTTGGGGTTGGTCATCGTAGGCTGGGAGTGACAGTGCCGGAGGTCCCTGGATGCCAGCAGGAATGGGCGAGAGCACCTTGCCCTCCGGCAGAGCAAGGGAGTTTGTGTGCCTGTGCCCGTGTGCCCGCCTGCTCAGAGGGCCCCCGGCACCATAGACATCGTATGGAGTAGAACCCTGCCGAGATGTCAGGGACCCCCACCTGGTCCTGGCGGACACCTCGGCAGCCCCCAGTCTCTGAACAGAGCTCAGGCAACAGAGTCTGGAGAGAAGACAGCCGGGGGGCTGAGCATGGACCCTCTGGAGAAGATGACTTTTAATTTGAGACCCAGAGGAGGATGCGTTGGGCCAGGCCGAAGGAGTGACAGGATCTGAGCTGGGAGGGGGCCAGGATGTGGGGAAATGTGCCCTGGGCAGAGGGTGCCCAGGCAGGAGCCAAAAAGACCCCTGGGGCCAGGCTGTGTCCTGAGGAAAGGCAGTGAATGACCAGATGAGAGCGGGGTGATTTCCCCAATTTAACAACTGCAGGTCATTCATTCATTCATTCATTCATCTAGTCCGGATGTTTGTGAGCAGCTGTTTAATTGGGAATGTGGGCTCCAAGCTCACCTGCCTGGGTTGGAACCCTGGCTCTGCCACTCGTTTAGGGGTGTCTCTTGGTGGCCTCAGTTTCCTCACCTGTGTAATGCTGCTCATGGTGAGACTGAGGACTAAGCAGGTGAAGCTGCAGAAAGGGGAGCCAGTCCGCAAATGCTCCGTGTCATTGGTGCCTGCTGGCCGGGTGAGGTGCTGGGACAGAGCAGTGATCGGAGGCAGACTCCTGCCACGCTGAGCTGACAATCCAGTGGGATATGTCACAAAAATCGTAGAAGTGTGCAACAGCGTACGATACTGGTGGTGATCAGTGCTGTGGAGGAAAACCTTAGTGGCTTTTCGTGGTCACCCAGCTGGAGCGGGCAGAGCAGACTGACCCTGGCCTGCCCCACTCCATCTCCTGGCCTGCTCTGTGCTGTCTCCTCTGGAGGCCAGGGTTCCAGGCTCCCATCGGCAGTGGGGCTCGGAGGCAGTGGGGGTTTGGGCAGGGCCCCCAGAGAGCATGCAGTGAGCCCCCGTTCTGGACTCCTCATCCAGTGCTCTCTCACCGCCCGCTCCAGTCACCTCGGCTTTGAAGTGCAACTTTGCACGAAGCTAGGGGAAGCCAGGGCCGGCAGGAGCTCGGTGGGGTGCTGCCGCCACCCACTCCGCCTTCTTTCCACTCACACCCTAAGCGCAGGGGGAGCGCGGGTTTCCATGGAAAGCCGCCACGGAGGGGGATGCAGGAGGATGGATGCCACTTCCCGACACGTGATTTATCGCCGCCCTGGGCTTTGTTTCTAGGGTGAGGGAGCGAGGGGCCTTATTTGATAAACCCACAGTTTATATTTAATCACGACAGTGACAGTCCAAACCTGGCCTCCGATCGAGCCGTGTGATTTATGCAGTTACCCCCAGGGACCCTGGTGGTAACAAGGCTACCGTTGCCTGAGGAATGACTGTCTGGATCTGGGCCTCTGGGTTTTAGGACCAAAGACCCCTTACCCTGGGGGCTGAGAAACTCTGGGGTGGCCTGGGGAGAGCCCCTCCAGACACCAGCACCTCCGACCTGGGTGGCCTGGTGCTCAGTGAGAAGACAAGAGCCTTGTTTGAGAGACAGGGTTACTCTGGGGGTCCGCCTTATAGATGTTTTGGGGTGCTGGTACCAGGCATGGCACCTGCTCTCTGTCCCTTAAAAGGAGTTCTGTTGGTGGAGACTGGAGGCAGCCCATTTAAAGACCTCCCAGGCAGGATCCAGGGCCCTGCAAAGAGGTCTCCGAGCCTGGGTGCCAGCCTAGGTCTGGACACCAATGGTCGTGTTCCCTATTCTGCACCATCCCTGCCACCACGAGTCCCCAGGGAAGATCCCATGTTAGGCTGGGGAGAGGCGGGGAGAGGTTTCAGGTCTCAGGGGGAGAGCGCGCCGTAGCCTTGCGTGGGGCCACCTCAGCAGGCAGACGTTTTGAGGACACTGGTCTGGCCCCAAGCAAACCAGGAACGTTTGTCTCTGTACTTCTCTCTGGTCCCTGAAGAATATCACTGGGAAATAACCATTTCACTTTGTTTCTTCTAGTCGTAAGAAGGAGTGAAGTTAAATGCCCTAATTCCTGTGCTGAAGCCCCAGGTTCAAATTCTACTCTTGAACTTACTAGCCGGGGCCCTGGACGTGGGACTAACTTTTCCAGGCCTCAGTTACTTACTTCACAGGGCGGCTGTAACTCAGGGCTTGGCTAAGGTCTAGCCATTGCAAGTGTCAGAAACCCAATTTCAGTTACCTTAAGGGTAAAAGAGAGTTTATTGGCTCACATAATTAGCTAGGAAGTCCAGGTTTGGATCCAGCTTCAGGCACAGCTGGATCTAGGGCTCAAATAATGCTGTGAAGCCCTCCCACCCTCTTATATGCTCTCTCTCTTTCTCTTTCTCCATATCTTGATTCTTCCTGCTCTTTTCCTTACTTCTAAACAAGGGCTGGGTTTCTGGGAGCTGCAGGAGGTGGTCTCTGTGGGTGTCCTGTCCACAGGTATATCCCTGTGACTAGCTGGTGTTTGGTATTTAGGAAGCAATCAATAAGCATCTGTCCATAGATTAACTGGATGAGATGAAGTAGGGCTTGGAAATAGTCCAGACTGGTGTGAGTTCTGGGACTGAAAACCGGCTTTAAATTCCAGCTCCGCCAGCTTCTATAGCTGAGATCCTGGGAAAGCTAGCCTTTTCTGGTCCTCAGTTTCCTCATCTATAAAATGGGCACACCCATAGCACCCTGCTCAGGCGGTCATTGTGAGGGCGAAGAGAGCTGATGCATGTAAAGTGCTTAGCACATAATGAGCTCTCAACCCCTGGGAATCTGCGACACTGTTGTTATTATTTCAAGGTTGAGCATTTGTTACAATCCACATAGCTGGAGGACCACGCAGGGAAATGAGAGTCTATTTTTTTCCTCTGGGGATTATTAAGTTTTCATCCTCACTGAGCTCAGAAGCCCTGGGGTGGAGGGAAACAAGAGCAGAGTTAATTAAAGAGCTTGGGCTCCACCAGCAGCGCCCTCAGGATTCACGTGTGCTGGGCTGGCTGGCCTGCCCAGGGCTCCTCCACCAAGGGCATCTCAGGAGGAGAGACTGCTGGGGCCCGAGCTGGCCCTGGGGGTGGCATCTTGCTCCCTGTGTCTCCCTTCTGCTCTTTGACTTGGTCTCTGTTCCCTTGTGGGATCCTCCCAACCTCAGTATCTGTAAGGAGAATGAATGAATGAATGAATGTGATTTGCTCTCACATTCCTGTGCCAGGCCAGCAGCCCAGTAGAGACCGTCTGCCATGGTCCAATCAACCATGTTAGGGGCAGACAGGTGGATTCTCAGGCCAGCTGCCTGCGAGACTCTCTGTCTCATGAGATGGGGAGAGGGACCCAGGGGACCAAGGAGTGGCAGGAATTCCTTGGGGGGTAGATTTGAGCTTCCAGACCAGCTCAGGTGTCACCTCCTCCTGGAAAGTCCAGGGGCTTCAGGCCACGTTAGGGCCTTCTCTGGCCCCCAGCCCCTTTGCTGTCCTGCCAAGGCTGGTGGCTTTATTGTCACTGCCTGGCCATGTCTGTCTCCATCATGAGTCTGGGATCAGGCCTGGTTCATTCAGTTCCCCAGCTTTGAGCTCAGGGCTGGTGCCCAGTAGGTGTTCAGGATGTATTGTGTTGAATGAATGAGGGAATGAATGAATGATCAAATTAATGAATGGATGGAGAGGGAAGGAATGGCTCCCAGCACCTTCCCATTGGTCATCATTAGATTCAGGAACTTTTCTTCTCCTCCCTGGTCGGGCCTAACTCTGACCTGCTGGGATTCTAGCTTGACTTAACTGCCCCCAGAAAGCGGCCCCGCGAGCCCCTCCCGATGCAGAGTGGTGATGGGGAGACGCGGGCGTGGGGCTGCGACGGCGGCGGATGGAGCTTGCTAATGCTCCCTGCACATTAGCATGCTGAACCCACGTCTCTCGTGAGGTGTTAATTAAATTTCTTCGAAGTATATTGTCTGAAAAAAAAGGATAATTAGAAAGATGTCTTTAAAAGTATTTATGTAACTGATATGGTACTGCTTTTGGGTTGCCGCATAATTAGATTTAAACACAACTCCTCGAGCGGCATACTCATTTGGAGAGAGCAGCTCGTTGAAATGTCATCGCGTTGTTTTTAAGAGTTTTGAGCCTGGCAGAACCATTCAGCAGAGAAGGCAGAGTGTGGCTCTCAGGGAGAGAGCACCAAATGGGGAGCAGGGAGCTGGATTCCTTCCCCACAGTCTGCATTTATTCCCTGTGGCACCCTGGCCACTTGCTCAGTGTCCTCATCTGTGGGACGAGGGGGCTACCAGGGGCTCCCGAGAACCAAGAACTTACATTGGTGTAGCTCTTTTTAATTTTCTGAGTAGTTTTCTTTGTGAGGTAGCTCCATTTTACAGATGAGCAAACTAAGGCCAAGCATTTTGCTTAAGGTTACATGTTCGTGGTGAATGGCAGAGCTGGGATTTGAAGCCTGGTCTTCTGATTCCAGAACTGTTTTCCTGTACAACCTTGGAAAGTCCTTGCTCTTAACATGATCGGACCATCTTAACAGTTGTGGAAAATTTCTGCCTATCTGAATTCAGTGCCTTTATTTCACAAGTTCCCAAGAAATGCCCCCTTTCACACATGACTCTCCCTGGATACTGCTTGCGCTCTGCACGGCGCTGGAGAGTCCGTTCTTTGAGCTGGACAGTGGACCTTAGTCCGTGCATCCTCAAGAGGGTGGAAACTGGTTTTTTGCGGGTGGAAAGAATCTCACTCTTATTATAAAGCACAGCTACACATGCAGTAACTGAACAGGTATACAGTATATTTGCGGTATTCAAATTTCACTAGAGGAGTGAGTAGAAAAAAACATCTGAAAAGGTCCCTTGGGGGCTGATCACGAAAAAATGGTTGAGAGGCTCCGCTTGTCTCAGTGGTCGGACAAGTGCACATAGGGACAGTTGCCAAGCTTCCCACCCGTGACCTCCTTGAACTTCGCAGCAACCCTTGGGTGTTCCCGTGCTACAGAGGAGAAACTGAGGCTCGGGGAGAAAGTTTTGCCCGGCTAGTGAGCGAGAGGGTCAGAATTTGGACGCAGGCGGGCCTGTCGCGAAGGCTGGGTGTGAGCTCAGTGGATGGGATGAGAGCTGCAGGCTCCCAGCCCCGTGGCCCTGTGACCACATGATCTTCTCGCCCCGCAGGGTGGACCCCGTGCCTCATGATGCCCCCAAGCCGCCTGGCTACACCCGCTTTGTCTGTGTGTCTGACACCCACTCGAGGACGGACCCCATCCAGATGCCCTACGGTGACGTACTGATCCACGCCGGGGACTTCACGGAGCTGGGGCTCCCGAGTGAGGTGAAGAAATTCAACGAGTGGCTGGGTAGGTGCTCGAGGAGGTGGCGCCTGCAAGCGTCCAGGCTGGGGCAGCCCCCTGCCCACTGCCCTTCCTCCCCGTGCCCCACCCTCCCTGGCCTTTGTCACCTGTCTGCCTCCTACTCTCCCATCACATCTCAGGGGTCTCTGCTGTGACTTTCAATTTGTTTGTGGGACTTTTGGTCTGGAGACCCCCTCCCAAAGGCTTGTTTTTGTCCTCTTGCATGTCTAGTCCCCACTGCCTCGTGCAGGTCGGTGCTCAGTGAGTAACTGAAGAATGAATGAGTGAGTGAGTGAGTGGCTGAATGGGCGAATGAATGAATGATGCTGGGACCAGTGACGCCAGGGCCAGCACTCAGCTGGTATGAGCCGGCTCAACCACCCACCACCATCGACGGCTTCCCCAGTGAGGGGACCCTCTAGGCCTCCATGCCCCCCGTGGGGGCCCAGGGGACCGGGTGTGGCCTCCTCCGTGGGCAGCTGCTGGTACAGGCAGCAGAGCCCTGTCCCACGCCGTGAGAGATGAGGGGCCACGATTTGCAAGCACGCACCCAGGGACTTTGACTTTTTGTTTTCTTCCAAAATAAGAAAGACATAAATCTGGGGTGCCCCCCGGGAAAGCCGCTTGCTTGGAATCCAGAGAAACCTCACAGGGACTCTCTCTGCCTTGGCCCCGAGGGACAGATGGACGGCCCCTGGGCAGCCCGGGGACAAGCCTGCTGTCTCAGAGGCGTGGGTGCAGGGCCGGCCCACCTCCCTGCACAGCCCCTCGTGGCTGCCAGACGGTCCCCCGCCTCCCCAGGGGCGTCCCGCTGTGCAGTTGGCTGGGAGCTGCGTGAGCAGAGGGCCAGGAGCGAGGCGGGTAACTGCAGGGAGAGGCCGGGCTTTGCCAGTCAAGACAAATATTTACAAGCAAGGCCTTCCCCTCCACTTGGCAGGCTTGGAGCCTTAAATATTGATTTTTTAAACGGGAAATTTTAATCAAGGGCCCTGTTTGGGCTGAACCGTGCGAAGACTGGGATGGGAGAGGACTCCTGCAGGCGAGTCTGCCCCAGGCTGCTCCCCTTGCCCCGAGCTGCCTCCAGGTCTGGGCTGCTTCCTCGGAGGGGACCCTCACTGAGGTTGGCTCCTCACCCCCCTGGTGTGGGTCTCAGAAGATGTGAGGCTGAACCAGAGTCCATGTCCGAGGCAGAGAGCAGGAGTTGCTGCTAGCCGGGCGCTGACTGTGTGCCAGGCCCGCGTGGTAGGCTCCTTCCCGCCACGGCCTGGCTGGATTTGAGGAATGGGTGTTTGGGGCGGACAGAAGAGGATGTCGCCCACCGCCCCCTGAGCTGAGGTTCCCAGTGGTGGGGACTGTTTCTGATGTACCCCCGGCCCACGACCGGCTCCTCTCCAGGCTGAGTGAGTAGAAGAACCAAACAGTTCCGTGTGCCCTGAGGGCGGTGGCCGAGGGCTGAGGGATCTCAGCGTGGGGACTGAGGATGGCCCTTCCCCCGGGTGGGGGGAGGCTTCTGGGCCAAGGCGACTTCGGGCTGGGCCTTGCCTAAGGATCTGGGAGTTTGGGCTGGGAGGGGAGCTGCTGTAGGCTGAGGGGACAGCTGAGGCCAAAACGTGCTGGGGGCACTTGGGAGGAGGCAGAGTGTGTTGTTTGGGGTCGGGAGCTGGGGGGACATGGGGGTAATGAGCGGGGAAAGAGGGGTGGGGCCTCCCTGAGACTCTGACGATGAGGGAAAACCGGGGACCTGGGAGGCCCAGCATGGTGAGCTGGGCATTTTGGGAAAATCTCTCTACCTGCCTCTTAACAGAAGTCAGAACTCTATGCAGTGGGAATTTAAAGGCTTTCTTCATAATTTGCCCTTGGCGTTGGATTGATTTATTTGCCTGGGTTATTGCAGGTGGGAAGGGTGAAGGTACAGAGGGGTCTTCCTTTCACAAAAGGGTACTTGCCCTGGGCCTCTTCCCTGGGCTGCCTTGAAGTGTTCGCTGATGTCAGGGCTTGTCACTCAAGCGGGGCTGGGCGGGGCTTCAGGCTGAAGGGTGAGGAGCAGCTCTCCGTCCTCAACGCGCACGTGAGTGAGAGGGTCAGTAGGAGCTGGTTTATAGCATTCTGTCTGCAGCTGGCTTTTTGGGAACTTGCCCACGGAACCAAATGACTCATATCTGTGGGCTGGCGCCCCTGGATTCAGGGGCCCAGGGGCGTGGTGTGGTGCTCACGGCGGGGAGATGGGCCGCGCGCTCACTCGGTGCATCCGGACAGGTGTGGTTTTGTAAAGAGCTAGTGTCCATTGAGTGTTAATACGTGCCAGGTGCCCTTTGTGTGTATTATTAAATCACTTAATCCTCTTGACAGCCGAGTGAGGCAGGAGCTATTGTCACCTCCACTTGACAGAGGAGAAACTGAGGCCCAGAGAAGTGAAGTAACTTGGCCAAGGTCACACAGCTAGTAAGTGGCAGAGCTGGGATTCCAACCCAGGCAGTTGGACTCTGGAGCCGAGCTCTTGTCATGTCCTCCGTATCACCTCTCTCGTTTTTATGGTGAAACAACTCTGATATGAAGTAAAGGCGAGGACTGTGCCTTTTGGGGCCAGACATGGGGGTCAGCTTCCTCCCGGGTGATTGCAGCAGCCACGTGACCCTCCTGGCCTCATTTTAAACGGGGGTGGTCCGGCTGCCCTTGCTCTGCCTACGTCTTTGGAGGTAGGCTGTTTTGATGCTCCACTGGGATGAAGGAAATGTTTTAAGTTTTGTAAACTACAAAGTGCTGTGTAAATGTGATTATTGCCCCCAGGACTTCCCTTGGGGTAGAGGTAGGGGTCCTGGGTTGGTCCCATGGTGGAAGGGGAAGAAATTTGACTCAAGCCTCCAGGGTGAGCTGCAGGGAGAAGCGGTAGACGAGTTTGTGTGTAAAAGTGTGTGGAGTTTACGAGAAACACTGACCTACGATCTCAGCTGTCTCTGCAGTTCTTACACACACACACACACACCCTCACTGAGAACACTGTGCCAAGTGTGTCCCCGGCAATGGGGTGACTGTGAGGAGTGAGGACAGGGCCGCTCGCGTTCTGGTGATGGGGAGACAGTGATGGGTGGAGACACCAGAAGCAGTGAGAGAACCGTTCACGCATGTGATGAGTGTCTGCAGAGAGCTGGCCCAGGGGGTGACCACGTGCCCCTTGAGTGGCCAGGGGAGGCCTCCCTGAGGAGGCGGCCTTGGGCAGGACACGGAGGTGAGAGTGAGGCAGATGTAGGAGGCACGTTCCAGGCAGAGGCCCTGGGGGCAAGGGAAGTAAATGTGAGGTCTGGAGGGTTTGGGCTGACCCCTATTCAGAGGCCCCGGGAGCAGCGGCAGGAGTTTGGGGTGGATTCGAAGTGCAATGGGGTCTTTGGGAAGGTTTATGTAGGGGAGTGACCTTTTAAAAGGCCTGATTGCAGAGTTAGAGTGGAAGTGGCAAGCCTAGTGAAAATGAAGACTCTGGAATGTTCCAGAATTGACATCTGAGTGGTGGGATTGTGGGGGATTAAATTTTCTTCTTTGTGGTTCTCTCTTTTTCCCTCTAATTTTCTACAAGTAGCGTGTATTATTCTTGTAACATCAAATAAAGGCAACAGTAAAATCTCATTGTTGTTAAAGAAATGTTGGCTTCTGTGATGTCTGGTGCACAGTGTGTCCCAGGATGGAGGCAGGGGTAGCGCTGGCCTCAGGTCAGTCCTGGGGTCATCCAGCCACTCAGAAGGTCGCCTGGAGCCCCTTCCCTAGGCCAGCGGGCCCCTGCCCACCTCTCAGGCCTGCTGGCCCTGCCCCTCCTCCTCTGGGGGAGAAAGTTACAGATTTGAAATTCACAACCAGCTTCTTCCCTGTTCATTGATCTCAGGGAAAGCATTTAAAATCATATTCCAAGGGCCACCCCCAGACAAACAAGAGGAAATCTGAAAAATTGATGAAGGCCCTCTTTGTAAGACAAGATTAGGCACCTAACTGGGGAGACGTGTGGCTAAAGTCACGAGGCTCTCATCTGCTGTCAGGTGCGTTGCTCACGGCTCAGCTGTGAGTCGTGTCCCTGTTGTGTCCCTTCAGGCGTCTCTGGGTTTGTGTTCATTGCAGGGGGCTGGACTTGGGGGAACAGGGCGCCTCTGAGCCGACCCTCTTTCTCGTTTGCTGTCATTATCCCAAATATATTCATGAAATAGAAACGCCAGCTCGATTTGTAAATGTCCCAGTGAGCAGCTAAAAAATTGCTAAGGACAGGCTTTCCAGCCATCAAGAGTGAAAACAAGAGCAAAACTTGCTGAAAATGAAAGGAATGTGCTGGAAGCTTCTCGCTCCTCCACGGCTAATCACGTGACGATGGACAGGTAGTGTGGAGCCCACAGGCTGCTTGGTCCAGCAAGTCGTGTCTGTGCAGGGAGGAGGGATGGCATGGAGGCTCAGAGCTCCCGCCTGGAAGTCAAACAGATCTGTCTTCAGCTTTGCTTCAGCCTGTTATTTGCTGTGTGACCTTAGCTTAGTCATTCAGCCTCTCTGTGCCTCATATGTAAAGTGGGGAGAATTATTTACCAACCCCATAGGGTCAAAGAGGATGGAAGAGTAATGTTCCCTTATGGTGCTTAGCACATTCCAGGCCTCAGAAAGTGGCCTCTCCCTGATCTGAGTCCCCTGCAAAGCAAACAGGCCACTTGACCAGCCTCAACGTTAGCCGAGCCATTTTGTTCCAGCCACACTGGCCGATTCCAGTTCCCCACTCTGGGCCTAGGCTCACGCTCATCCCTCAGCTTGGAACGCTCTTTCTCATCCACCCTGCAGGTCCTACCCACCCCTCCAGTGTCACCTCTTGTGAAGCTTCCCCAGCCCCTTGGGTGGCATTTTTCCCTCTTCCCTCTGCACCCAGAGCTCCCTATTCAGGCTTTGGTGGCAGCCCTCACCTCATGGAGGGGGTTTTTGGTGTCCTCATGCCTCCCCTCTGCCCCACCTAGATCGTCAGCCCCGGAGGGCAGGGTGAGCCTCTTCCC